TAAACAAATAGAACAGCTGTTTTTCACATATTTTTCTTTTGTTCATCCAAACGACTTTTATTGGACTTGAAGAGTTTTTGTTATCCTGGATTAAACAAACATCGATTAAAAATGGACAATTCTATGGCACCGCTACAGGAGTTGCTCACTGGCATGGTAGTGCCGACACAGCGTGCCAACATGAACATTAATCCCGAACACATCACCATGCTGACCGGAAGTAAAAGCAAAAAACAGCTCAGCCGGAAGCGTGTCAAAGGAAAGAGCTCCACGCTTACGCGCCGCGAATACGCCAGCCTGGGGCTACACACTTTGCCAACACGACAAATGCTGTATGAAGAAGCTTTACCGTTACATAGACTTTGGAAAGGTTACATGCGTGAACACTTGGGACTACGTGAGGGTGACAAGGTTCCAGCCGTGCACGAGCCAGGTTACGATGCATTCAGTAAATTGTTGGTAAAAACAGATCTGCATGGCGCTATATTGCGTGTGGTAGAATCGAAGTGCGCAACACTTGTGGGGTTGACGGGGATTGTAGTCTTGGATACGAAAAATATGCTAAAGCTCTTGGGCAAGGACCACCGTATACGATCGGTGCCGAAGACTGAATGCGTTTTTGGTATGCATTTTGGGAATATGGAATTTACCATTTTTGGCAAGCATCTAGCATTGCGACCAGCGGAGCGAAGTGTGAAGAAGATCAAAAATTTCATTGAACCTTTTGAGTTGGAATAAAAGTAAAACCAAATATCTAGTATTTAAGAAATTAGCAAATATGATATGAAGTTTAAGTAGCAATATAAAAACTTACAGAAATTGGACGTTGAAAAATATTTACTAAAATAACCCTGGTCCGAAATTCATCAAAGCAAAACATCAGCCTCTTTGAATTGCAAACTATAATTGAGGGAAATACTCAATTTGCACAACGTAAGTGCCAAATCGGCATTTAAACGCGGTTGGGTTACTGAACGTCCCCATCAATTATAGATCGTTCCCACGACAGTCGGGTCTACGTAACCGGAACGACCCAGATTTATATCTGGCCAAGGACTGTCACTCCAGCAACACTCCCCAAAATGTCTTTGGGGAATTTGTATGCTGCTACAACAACAACAATCAATTATAGATTAGAAATAAAGGAGTGCTGTTGTGATGATTTGTTTTTATGCATTTTCGAATAGAAGTATATTGTACTCTTATCTAATATTTCAATTTTCCTACTTAGTGCCGTTTTCTCAAGTAGCTTTTAAAATTTATCTGCCCTTCAAACAATTTTTTTTTAGAACAAAAAAAGGCAGATCAAATCCAAAACCTACTTGACCTACCTACGCCCTTACACTATTACATTAAAAAAATAATAATAATTAGCTGACAAATATTTAAAAGTTAGCAGCCGAATTCAATTGCCTTCAAAGTTAACTTCTGGCTGTAAAACGAGCAGAACTATATAGTTCTGTAATTGATAATTTCCGAGCACAAAAAATTTGTTTCGGATGAGCTTGTAAAGCCGCGAAATGATAAATTGATAAGTATGTATGTATGTTTATAAGGATGAAATATGTACTTACAAGCAGAGCTGGGTCGTAATGATTCCTTTAGGAATTAAATTACTCCCAATTACAGATTACAAGGAATTGTAATTAGGAATCAATTCCTTCAGTCCACAGCAAAGGAATCGATTACTTTTTCAATTCCTTGAAGTAATTTCAAATGTAATTGGGTTTTTCTTTAATTCCATTACAAGGAATTTCATATTGTAATTGGAATAAATTAC